TTACAGTAGCCCTTATAGTAACCCTTGTGTAGAACCTGTATAAAGCAGCCTTACTCCACTTATTCAGGCCCTGTATTTGTTCTTGTTGGTCCGAGGCTGTTGGGTTTGGTGTTAACTTCAGGATTGGGGTTTAGCAATTTAGGGGTTAGGGAGCCCGGTTCAGTGTGGTCGGCTGCTTAGGACTTAGGAAAGTTCAGGGTTACGTAAAGGTTTATAGGAATTAGGGAAGTTCCGGAAAGGAGGACTCAAACAGGGCCCTTGAGGTTACGAAGCGGCCTAGCTCATTGGCCGACGTGCGAACCGCTTAGTGGAAGCCCGACATGGGTTTTGCTTTCAGTGGTTTTTGCTCGAACAAGACCCTAAAATAAAACCCTAAACCCTAAATCCCTAAACCCCTAAACCCTAAACCCTAAACCCCTCAACCCTAAACCCCTAAACCCTAAACCCTAAACCCCAAACCTTAGGGCTTAGGATCCTGCAGGTCATGCAAAAGCAACGGGATGCCCTGGAGAAGCTGTGCGACAACCTGCACAAGGACACCATGCCCAAGACATGGCCTAGGGTTTAGGGTTTAGAGATAAGGGTTTGGGGTTTAGGGTTTAGGGTTTAGGGATCAATCTGGACCCTACACCCTGAAAGCCCCAAGACCTCAAACCCACCTGTTCTTGAAATACACCTTGGTCCTTGGATCTGAATTTCAATTTCAATCCTACAGACCCGAATTGCTACAGCCAACAACCCTGATCCTCACATCCCGAAGACCCTGAGCGCTGCAAAGCCTGATGTCGTGCAACAAATCCCTTACCTCAAAACTAAACCTGTGGCACTCCTAAACCCTATGCACATCTTCTCCTCCAAACCGCCCCAGTTCCGAAACCGGAAGCTGCTAAGCCTTAAAGCATGGCAAAGAAGAATCCAAAAACCCGAAGCCCGAAAACGTTATAGTTGCCCTTAGGAGAGCAACCATGGATGGGCCCTTGTTTTAGCCCTTGTCGCAATTCCTCTAGAAACCTCTAAGGGAACGCGACACTGCTCTTCAGGAGAACCAACGTTTGAAGCAGCAGCTGCCAGAAAAGCGGTGAGATCAGCCTCTAACCTGCCGTGGGCCCAGGCTTAGGGTTCGACGGCTCAGGGTTTGGGGTTTAGGGTTCAGGGTTTGGGGTGCAAGGTGTGTTTTTTGCATGTTATTTTTGGAAGGGGGCTGGGGTGTGGAGGTGAAGGTTTTGGGGGTTTTGGGGCTCAAAGGCTTATTGGTTTCGGGGTTTCCGACATTTACAGAGTTTGAACTCCGTAGGGTTTTGGGCACATGTCAGGGCTCAGGGCGGAGAGTTCGATAGCTAGGGCGAGGTTTCTGGGAAGTGGATGTCAGCACAGTTTCGGTATCGCCACATGAACCACCCGATCTCAACATGTGCTTCCTCCTAAACCGTAGTCCTGTCTGGGTTTCGGGATAGAATTCTGTGCGATTTTGCTTGGGTTCAGAGGTTGGTGTATGTAAGGGTCTAGAAGACCTGGCGCATTTGTACTCTTTGTGACTTGACTTTGTCGAGGTTAAGGGTTGGGGTTTGCGCATTCTCGCACAATTTTGGGGTGGAGGGAAGCTGCAAGCAAGGTGCTGCAAACCCGTGAAGAAAAGCCGCTCCTTAAATCAGGAGAACTGAAATCCTAATATGAGGGCGCTTGAAGAAACCCTAAACCTTAAACCTTTAGCAGGGCTGCTACGGTTTAGGGTTTAGGGTTTAGGGTTAGGGTTTAAACCCTAAACCCTAAACCCTAAACCCTAAACCCCCACTTCTGCATCCCATCTCGAGCTTAGGGTGGGGGTCAATCAAGGCGCTCCCGCGTCTGCCCTGAAGTCCGACTCAGTCCGTGTCCTGAAAGGTTTAGGGTTTGGGGTTTAGGGTTTAGGGTGTAGGGTTCAGGGTTTAGGGTTTGGGGTTTGGGGTTTGGGGTTTGGGGTTTAGGGGGCTAGGGTTTAGGGAACATCATCCTGCACACGATCGAGCCGGAAAGTGCGATGCTCACAGCTGCTGGAAGTTCTGCACCGAAGTGGTGGCTGTTTCACTTCGGTGACAACCGGGATGCTCAGTTTAAGACCAGGCCTCCTTGGTTATTCACCCTGAGGTCTAAAGAATCACTCGGCTTCTGTTTGATGATTTTACCCTACACTCGAAAAGATAATGCTACATTCTGCCTCCCGAGCAAGCTGACTGCCATGAGGTCGGCAAGTGATCCGGCAAAGTTCATCTGTCATGACAGTGACTCCGAGGCTTGAGAGAGCTAGGGCTAGGTTTGAAAGCTCAGAAGCCGACAACAATGCGAACCATCTTAACCCTCAGCCGTGAACCATGAAGGATTATGAAAGTTAAATGAACTGATAAGCAGCATCGCCCTGGAAAGTCCTTCGTGTCTGTACAGCTGTACAACTCAAAAACATTGTGTGCATTGAGTATCCTGATACATGCATTCTGACCATTGTCTCTGCACCTCTGGGGACTGTCTCGCAAAGCTTCGTCGAGTTCATCGGCAAGTTTAGGTCTCTGCCTCGGTTTAGGGTCATCTGCCCTGGCAGTGGTGCAAGCGAATGAAGCCTCACGCGACCGTAACGTCCAGACGCGTCGAAGGAAAAAAGGGTGGGAAGCACTTGCGAGAAAGGTGTCTGCCTGCCTTTGCGCCGTGATCGCACGGACGCGAGTGCCTGAACTGCATGCTTTAGAGACGCTAATGCATAATCCCTGAACCCACTTGCAAAACTCCTCAAGGCCGAATCTCCTGCATCGCCATCCTCCACCCGAAGTCAAGCCCGACCGCAAAAGACCCCCAACCTGAACTAACATTCGAGACCCGAGTTCGAGCCCGATCAAACCCTGCACCATAAACCCTACACCCAAGCCGAGAACGACTTTCCTCCCTCTCCCGAAACCGCAATGTAGGGGCCTATCTTATTACCAATACTACTTTGGGGGTTCCTTCTTTTTAAAATATAGCAAAATGGGCCCCAAAGCCCTATTCTAATTATTAAGGCCCCTACATTACAGGCCTGAAAGTCTGTGAGTCCCGATCCCTTAAGCCTGGGCCCCAAAAGCTGAACACAAACCCGACGCCCCAATGCACTCCTTACGCCCCAGAAACCCATTATGTCCTTAACCCTAAACCCTAAACCCTAAACCCTAAGCCCTAAACCCTAAAAGCACTAAGCCCTAAACATCCCCAAACACTAAAAGCCCCAAGCCCTAAACATCCCTGAACCCTAAAAGCCCTAAACCCTAAACTCTAAAAGCCCTAAAGCCTAAAAGCCCCTTAAGCTGGGGAGGTCTCAGCTCGAGGTTCGGGGTTTAGGGGTCTAGGATGGTTTCGGGGTTTAGGGTTTACGGTCTAGGGTAGGATGGTTCCGGGGTTTCGGGTTTAGGGTTCGGGGTTTAGCGGTCTAGGATGGTTTCGGGGTTTAGTGTTTAGGATTTAGGGGTCTAGGATGGTTTCGGGATTAGGATTTCGATCCACTTTCGTCAGATCTTGTTCAGTTGCCGGTATTATGTAGTCAAGCTGCAAGCTTCCATGGTACTTGAGCTGTTTCCATGTGAGAACCCCATGTCGGCTCAAGGAGATATCAAGCTACTGCCCTGAACCTCCGACACCTGAAAGTCGTTAGACTCTATACGCCATATAGTCCCACATCCTGCGCTCGTCTAAACCCGAACCAAAGGTTCTGAGAGTGTGGCGGCTGCATGTTTTAGATCTTCTCGTCATTGCATAGGTTTGCGAAGCACCGTCTAAGTTTTTTACTCGAAGCAGGGTGCAGCATACTTGTGACGCCGACTCAAAACATGATAAGTCTAGCACCTGAGGTCTGCGAAGCCTGATAGCTGTGCAAAGGGGTCATGCCCTATGCCCCTGTCCGACGCCCCGGAGCCCTAAATCTCAGTCCTGTGTCCTACGTGACTCCCAAGCGAAACTCCCCCCGTTCAAGCATGCAGTATCCGATGCGCAGCATTTCCCTTCACTATGGGCCAGGCCCAGTGTCGGAAGTGTGTAAGGGCTAGTTGGTGTTGTCGGTGGTCGTAAATAAATGTTGATGTCGAGAAATCGGACTGCTGCGCCTGATCTCGTCCTCTTGTTAATAGCGTCGATACTTGTGATTTGTGCCCACAGCCACCATAGCTGCCATAGCTGACTCGTCGTCAACATCATCATGAGTCTCAGTGTCAACATCACCGGGATCATTGTCACCATCCAATCGGAGACTACTTGTCGACCTCCATGATCGCGTGTCAATTGCCGTTTTCTTGTCCTTCATCGTGACAATCTTCGCATTCGTGATTGCCGGGTGTAAGTGATGTAGGTCGAGAAACGTACTCACAGTGGTCATCGCATGACCGGCATTGCCTGCATGCTTGCTGCTCCATGTCTTGAATGACATTGCAATTTCGGATGCTACTAGCTAGAAGTAGCGGAAGTTACGGGACCGTCGTGGCAGTGCCAGTAGTGAATGTGGTGATAGAGGTGTTGGGCTGGGCATAGCAGCATAGTGATAGTAGCAGTGCAGCATTAGTAGTAGTAGTAGTAGTAGTAGTAGTAGTAGTAGTAGTCGTAGTCGTAGTCGTAGTCGTAGTCGTAGTCGTGTTGTAGTAGTGGTAGTAGTAGTAGTAGTAGTTGTTGTTGTTGTTGTGGTCATAGAAGCTACGATCATGCATGTGTAAACGTGTGTTTTGATTGTTGTGTGGGGAGTGTCAGTGGGCGTAGCAGTAATTGTCGTCGTCGTCGTTGTCGTCGTTGTCGTCGTAGAAACAGCACTAGCGAGAAGACTAGTAGCTACAGAGGCAAAGGTTGAAGCAGAGGCAGCGGCAACAGGGGCAGCAGCAGGAGCAGGGGTCGCAGTAGTAGTAGTAGTAGTAGTAGTAGTAGTAGTAGTATGTTGGTGATCAGGCTGCCGTATG